TGCCCCTCCAATGTCAATAGCCTTGTATTTCTTAATATAATCCACTCTTTCATGCACATCTCCTCTGGTTCTTGCATCCTGTAACAATGTTAATTTGACCCTTGCTTTTTTCCCCTTGCCATATATATTTTAATATTATTTTATTTAGGTCATCAAAATATTTTTTCTCCAATTTTATTGGAATTGTTTGGGACAAATATAGCACTCTTGGTATTATGTTCATTTTAATTGTCACTATTCTCCCTATTAGTGATAGTTGTAGTTATTTCCATTTTCCATGTTTATAATATATTGCCTTAATCATTTTGATAAACCTCTCCCCAAAGCCCATTTCTTCCATTTGCACCAACATAAATTGCCAGTTCACATTGTCAAATGCCTTCTGTGCATCTAAGAATATCAGCGCCATCTGTTTTTCTGGATGTGCTTCATAATATTCCAATGTATTCAAAATTGTCCTCATATTGTCTTTTATTTTTCTCTTAGGCAGGAAACCATTTTGATCTGGATGTATGAATTGATTTAAATATCTCTTTAATCTTTCTGCCATTATTGAAGCAAATATTTTATAATCCACGTTCAATAAAAATATCTGTCTATAGTTTTTTATCTCTTGCAAATTAGAATCTTATTTCGGTATGAGTGTAATGTAAGCCTCTGTCCAAAAGTTAGGTACTTTCACTTTCATCAATACTTCATTTAATACTTCCAACATTGTATTAGAAAGAGAGTCTGTAATGTTTTATATAATTCTGCTGGTAGCCCGTCGGGGCCAGACGCTTTCCCATTGTTTTGTCTATTTAATGCTTCTGTTAATTCCATCAATGTTTTCTTTTCTTCTAGCATTAATTTGATTATTTCCGGTATTTTAAGATTTGTTGATATATTGTGATTGCAGCAAAAGAACTAAGGCAGGGAATTTACAAGTGTGCTTTGTGAATAAGTAAAAGAGAAATGGCTGATAATTATTTCAATATGTGATTTTTGTATTTAATATATAGGAAATATGTGTATCTGCATTTTTAAAGGACTAAGTTAACAGCATATTACAAATAACATATTTCTGTGCTTTTTCAGGCTCTTTACTTGCTTATGGATTCTTCTTCTGGCAAGCTTTTTAAAGGTAAGAGGATATTTTAGATAATTAAAATTTTGGAGGTCTCCATAGGATGCTAACTATTTTAAATAGATCAATTAGGAACTAACTCCCATTTTAAACGCTTGATTTTTTTAAACTGATAATTGTGTTCTTTTTCAATGCAAGTCATATAGGAGCATTTTAGAATTATGAGCATGTAACTTATTAATGAAAACTGGGACGAAGTTGAAATTAATTTAAGAGTTTTTAAATAAATGCATACTATTAAGATCAAATTTAAACTGCTTTTATCTTTTAATGCTTTTATCTTTTATTTTAATTTTTGCTCCACAAACTTGAAGAATCTCAACATTACGCTCTCAAACATAACATCTTGATTCAAATAATTTTACATAAAAATAATATTCTACAGAAATCACAAAGATGCCAATATTTGTAATTCAGAGGCCTTCTTTTAATAATCTGTTATTGGATTTTGATCGCTAAAATAAAGGAGCTTTCCTCATTTGAGGCTTGCCAGTCCAGTAATGATGATCAGTAGATGTCATGATCTGTAAATCTTTGTTTAACCATAGTTTCTGCAGTTCAGGCATACATTCATTAATCCTGAGTCAGCTTGATAAACTGCTGTGTAGGTGCCCACTTACAATTATTTGTTGCTGTTCCTAGGACTGTGTCTAATGAACAGAGGATATGATTGCAGTCCTCTACAAACTTCCTCCGAGAAAGCTATATTGAATAAATATATAAAAATTATGCTGGAAATGGCCCCAGCAGCTGAGAGATTGTCATATTTGTGTCCATATAACTTTGAAGATGTGGTTCATAGTAAAATGAGAAAACAACTGTATGTCAATACAGTTTAAAAAGCTGGAGTGCATTTTGTCAGAGATGGTGACACAAAATATACTGACAAATAAGTTGTAGTTTAATAATAATATAGTAAATCTCTGAAAGAAGGGGGGGAAAGCTTTTAGATTTCCTCACAGTGCAGAATCCAGGTGGTCTAATACAATTTCTTGAAGAGTTCATTAAAGTATTTTTCAGATTGACTATTTTGTTAGCAATACTATAGTGAGAAAACACCCAATTACTCTTTAAAAGAGTTACAGCCTGAGAAGCCCTTTAGAAAAACAGTATTCTCAGTGTGGTTGATTTTATTCATCCAAAGTGATGCCCATATACATTAAATTGAGAAAATGCAGTTGCACTGAAATTTAAACATTTATCTAATTTGAACTGAAGTTAGATCTGTTGCTTTAGGAAACCAAAGACAATCGTAGGATATGACAAGATCTTATTTTGCTGGTAACAGGGAAAGTCATAGGAATGACCTTATCTAGAATCTCGAAAATATTAATTATACTCAACTTCTTCATTAAAAACTGTTTTTAAAGTTTATATTACAGATAACTAATTTTTAATATGCTTTTGTATTAAAAATACATTAAATCTGCATTTATCTGCTCCTTGTTTCTAGTTATTTTTCAATAATGAAGTAATAGAGCTGGTATTTGCTGCTGCAGGAGCGCTTCTGTTCTGTGGATTTATCATCTACGACACTCATCTATTAATGCACAAACTCTCTCCGGAAGAATATATACTGGCTGCAATCAATCTTTATTTGGACATCATCAATCTGTTTTTGCACCTGCTCCGTTTGCTAGAAGCATTTAATAAAAAGTAATTGGGAGTTTTAATTCAAATTTGAGATAATTTATACGCAGTATCTAAAGAGTTAATTAAGACCTAGAAAATCTGCTGTCTACTTTGACACTGAAACTTGATTTTACATTCTGTGCTGGCTTCAGTGTTTTCTGTATAAACTATTTTAGAGAGCTGATTCTTACTGAATCTATTCTGAGATCAGTTAATTATATACTGCAGGCATCTTGGCTGTTTGGCAAAGGCTTCCTCCATCTATTTGCATATTAGTATTGATTGAAAGACTTGCTCATCAACTCATTTGTGCCAATAAGTACAATTAAAATTCTATTTTATTCCTGCAGTAATTGTCACAGATGTGTCCTTTGAGAGTCACAATTGTTGCTGGTTCGATAGCATACATCTTGATTTCACTATTGAACACTGAAACTTTAAATAAGCTAAAATTCTATTGTTTGTCTTCTTTTACAAAAAATAATTACACCCATTTTTATTTGAAGAACTGATCCTACATCATTTTGCTTTTTCTAATAAATATCTGTACTTCCAAGTATGTTGTATGAGGAAAAATAACCTTTGGGGAAAAATAATCTCTTATGGGAAGGATTCCTAAGATGTATCATATGTTAAAGTAAACATAAAAAGAATTGGCTGACAGTAGTCTTTCTCTATTCCGAAATTTTAGTTCAGAAATATATGTTTTCTTAGGACCTTTTCACTAATGGTTGTAAGGGGTGAAATGTTTTTATGCAGAAGAATATTTATTAGATGGCCCTTCAACTGAAGCAATAGCAAAGTTAGTTAGATTTCATCTGCTGTTCTGGCAGGTGATTAGACACTTATAAAATAAATACATTTTGATAAAATGTTCATTATGTGATCCCTTTTCTCTGTTTCTTTGCTTTCTATTGTTAAGACTTGTAGATAATTTTGTCAGCGTTAAGCAGAAAGTTGTATTATATGAGTGTAATCTCAGATCTCTGCTGACTGATATTTTTTGTCAGTGTCATCCCATTTTATTTTTATAATTTCAGCCTGTTATTAAAATTCCAAAATTAAAAACTGTTTCAAGCGTTTATTCAAAATCTGTATTCAGAGTTCAACTTTTAATTATAGAGTCCCAGTTCATAACACTTATGTACAAAACACTTATATACAAAAACTTTAAAGTTACAGGAAATTATTGTAATAAAATAGAACTTGCTTATATTACCTTAGCTTCCCAAAGAATTGTGAGACATAGTAGAATTTATCTGTTAGTTTAGCTTCCCCCAAAAATTATTGTGACATCCTTGGGTTTATTTAAGTTAGCTTAGTTTCCAAAAAAACCTATAAGCTCAGGTTACAGTTATTTTGATCTGGTCAGTCATGCTACTTTAGTGACAATCCATGTCTTTTTTAATCAACTTTGATTGAATCAACAGTTGCATCTTGATGAGAAAGACCTTGTTTTATGATTTTAATTATTTGTAATAGCCCTC